TCTAAAAATATTTCCATTGGTTCAAAGTTTGAACTTAAGCTCTTTAAGTTAAGCAAAAATAGTGATTTACAGTAAAGTGATTTACAGCAAAGTGATTTACAGCAGTAATGCTAGTGGAGGACTAAATATCTTTGCTAAATTTTTTAGCATGTACCTACTCAGATCCTCAGGCTTTCCTCAAGATTTTTGTGCTCCTGCAGAATAACATTTGTGTGTCATCAGTGTGCCTGTATAAAATGTTTCTGTTAAGCATAAGGCTATGCAATTTGTAAGAGTGACAGACTTTCCTAAGCAGCTGTAATTATTTGTTTTGTATCATAAGAACTGCATTTTTTTACAGGATAAGACACACTGTAGAGTTACTAGAATTGGCTCCTAATAAATTTTAACATTCTCTTTGTACTTCAGAATTTGGTGAAATGATCCCAGTAAATTGTTTAGGAATTCAGACCTTATCTAGAATTTATTAAATAACTAATTATATATTGCATTTTACTGCTAATTATGTTTGGATGTGTTGCATTAATATTAAGCGTAAAAGTGTAAAAGTGGAAAATATTTACATTAACATACTTTAATGTTGAAAGTAATTTGTAGCTAATTAGTGATTTTTATGAGATTTTCAAAGAAGGTCCTCATCACGCATTTCAAACACTTAGTTGAGATTAGTTGCATACTGGGAAAAAAAAGGGTTTTCTGTACTTTTCCAGCTTTCTTCATGTCTCAAATACTCAGAAAATATGGCCTCATGGTAGCTTCATAAGTTTTTTTTTGTTCTCTCTGAAATATTGTTGAACTTCTGTCCATATATTGCCTTTGTACTCTGAGATCATGAATTGCTACATTTCCCTAGCAACTGTTCGCAAGCAGATTTGGGACATGCCTTTTGTCAGGTGCAACTACCAGTTTAATGGCACTCCATGTTATGGCACATAGCCAGAAGACTTAGTTACTGTCTACAACACACAAAATTCAGTTGTCATTATTTTCACTACATGTGCATTTGACTGGCAGAAATCGCACTAAAACATGAAGGCTTTTCCAAGTTTTAACATGATTCATATATAAAAATTCTCATCTCCTAGCCTTTTCTGAAATGTAAAGAATTACCCAAGACTGCATTGTTAGCTTTTAGATGGAAAACAGTATCAGTTTTTCATAGCTGCATAAAGTGTATTTTTCAGTACCCAAATAGAAAAATCAGAAAGAAAATGAAAGTGATCCTGAAGGAATGGTAACAGAGATGCATAGAAACTAAAGTCTTAGCTGTGTATGCCAATAATACTGTAAGTTAGTCAGGAATAAAATCAGTGATCTGTATTTAATGTGTTAACAGCATTTTCAACTGGAATATTTCAGATATCTTGTTATCTTTCTAAATGCTTTTGCAAGTACTGTTAGCATGACTTGTAAATCAGTCAGTGGTTTTCACAAGTATTTTCATCACTGAGAGGTATTCTCAGTGCTTGATAACTCAGATGAGGCTGAGTGGCATGGAATTGCTTCTTTGTCAACTGAAGTAATTCAGCTCTAATAACAGCCTCCAGCATAAAATCATCACCTTTGTTAACAGAGCAGGGCTTTTTTTCCCCCCATTTCCTTGTTCTCTTAAATGAAGATTGGAATTCATACACATCTAGCATGGTCACAGGCAAATAAAAGCAAAATGTCTGAAGCCAAGAAGTTGTTAACTATCTCTGCTGTACAGCATTAGTTTGCACATTTGGGACTAATTGTCTAAATTGGAACTAAATCTTTTAATCTATGGAGAGTTGCAATATAGGTGAATACATTAAAAACTGCAGTTACTGAAGTCTTAAAATAATGGGGGGTTAGTGTCATGAGATCAGAAATGAAATTAATATTCTGATGCCACTGGTGAGAATTTCTTTGCACTACATTATAGCAGATATTTATTTATTGCAAATGAAGATGCAAAATAAATTGTCTTTTTCAGCACCCTTTCTCATATTGACGGAATCATTATGCTTTGTGTCAGACTTAGAATGGCAGAATGGTTTTGATTCCTTTCTCATGTTTTCTGCACAAAATCAAGTTTTGTCACTTCTCCTTGACACAGCTAAGGCTCCACTATTCATCTTATGTCTCAAATTCTTTTAGCCTTCATTATTTCATCATCCTCTCGGGACTCCTCAGGTCTTATACCATTCCATATAGCTCAGTCGAAACATAGCCACAGAATTAACCTTTTGATCAGGTGTCATTTTGCTTTTGAATTCCTCCAAGCGTTCAACTTGCCCAGTACATGCTATTTTTTTGTTCTCTTTTCAAAACACTCCTTATTAGACAGCTGCCCTCTATGATTTTGATCTTTTCTCTTATTTCCTATCATCCCATCAGGATTTCCAGACTGAATGACCAATTTATGGTACTGTTATAAAACTGCTGCAGTTATCTTTTCATGTCGTCCATTTTATCCTCTGTCCTGTGTTCAGCAGTAACAGTCATTTTTCTCCTCCTTAGTAGCTGATTCAGTGGTGTGTTTTTTGACTTTCAGCCTGGGAACAGCACTGATAACACCAATGTTTTTAGTTGTTGCTAAGTCAAGTTTACTCTGACCAAGGACTTTCTGAGTCTCATGCTCTGCCAGGGAGGAGGGAAAGCTGGGAGGAAGCACAGACAGGACACCTGACCTAAACTAGCCAAAGAGGTATTCCATACCACAGCACATCACGCACAGTATATAAACTGGGGGCAGTTACCTGGAAGGGCTAGATCACTGCTCGAGTTGGTCTGGATGTCGGTTGGCGGGTGGTGAGCGGTTGTGTTCTCTTCTCTTGTTATTTCCCTTATCATTATTATTATCAGTGGCAGCAGCAGTAGTTTTGTGTTATACCTCATTTACTGGACTGTTCTTATCTCAGCCCGTGGGAGTTATATTCTTTTGATTCTCCTCCCCATCCCTCCGGGAGCAGGGGGAGGAAGGAGGGGAGTGAGCGCATGACTACGTGGTTCTAGGTTGCCAGCTGGGCTTAGACCATGACATCCCCAGAGAACTGTTTTCTTGGGACTGAACACAGGATGTCATATATTGCATTAGATACTGCCAGGGAAATGAACTTCACCCTAGATGCTTACTTTTAAGTATGGACATGTATTTGGAAGCCTACATGTATTTGACTGATTTCCTGCTGAATGCCACACCCATTTCCCAAAATTAAAAGAAAATCAAAGGAGCTGGTTAAGAACAGTCCAGAGGGAATTGCAGTTATAACTGTTACAGCCACATCTTAAAGTTATGGTACTACCCAGGTCAGTAATATACCTTTGCTGCCTTAGAATCAAGAGGAAAACAGAACCATTTTCACAAAAAGGCAGCAAGAAGTTCAGAAATCTCTCAATAATATGAATAAATGACGATGATCTCAATCCATATTTTCCCTTAGAATAGCAGTTGGTTTATTTTATCCTATGTATCACAAGTACACCACAACTCAAGGGATGTGAAAGAATCTGTTTCAAAGAGGTTTTTTTTTCTTGTACATGCTGCTGTTTACGCATGGCTTGTGGTCAGATGATTTACAGGAAACTGTGCGCTACTCCCCACTTGTCTATGCAGAAGACAACATATGCCAGTATACTTCCATTTCTCTTTATCAAAAGAGACCTACCATAATCAGGAAATTGACTGTGGAAATGGATCTGAACTAGAAAACATAATGAAACCAAAACAGCAGAAATAAATCAGAAAGGTTGCACAGAGTGCTGTTAACTTAGCAGCACTTCAAAGAGAAAAAATAAAAGTAACCTAGGAAAAGATTCATATTTTGTCCATTCCTTACTTGTGCCACAGCGCACTCCAAGCAGCACTCAGCACCAGCTGCAAGCAGATAGCTGTTTACTTCACTGTTATGTGAACTTTCCATAGTCTCCACTTGTGCATCCCCTTTTCATACAGATATCTTGAAGACTTACAGAAAATGCAGAGCATGTTTAGAAGCAGAGAGAAACCCTAATAGGAGCCACTTTGTCATAAGTTTATTTGTGGACGAGAACCTTGGTGCTACTATGGGCTTCTCCAGTGGAGGCCTTTTATATCTAGTAGTTTCCCAAAATACAGGTTTTAAGAGCTGATCGTCTTGGTTCGTAAGATTGTATGAGAGGACATGTATGTGTGCTGCAGATAAGAGACCAAATACTTTCCACAGTGAGAAGAGTTCAGAGGAATTTCAGCATTCATTTTGGTTTTATCTAATTCTTTGAGGTTCACAGAAAGCCCAGCATGCTTTGTACACTGCTGACCTGTGATAAGTACTGAACATCTGATTTGCCTCCATATTTCTGTGGATGGAAATAACTTTTCCCTTTACAAATCAAAGCAACCCCTTTTGTGTATTGCAGATCTACATTTCGCTGTACTTCCTATCTTTGTTCCTAATTATTTCATTCTCTATCATCTGTATTTGGCCTCATTAAATATTCTTCAGTGACTTTATCATTCTCTTCCTTTGCATTATATGGTGAAAAGAACTATCCAGTATCATAGCACCGAGAACTTTCTGTAGAACATAGGCTGATTTCTGCTGTTACATGTAACTATCTGTAAATTAGTATTGGCCTGACTTTCATATGCTTTCATATTCAATAACGCTTTGCCATTCTTTTTTAAAGGAGACAGGGAGTGAAAATAAAGAAAAGAACCAACACAACTGAATAAAAATTGCCTGAATATAGTAATTTTATATAATGGAAAAAAAGCTCCAGGTTTATGCATATTCTCAGTAGGAAAGCTTTCTGTTTTCCTAATTGTCATGCTTCCAACATTGCCTGTCAAAATGGACTGTGTTGTAACCAATAAGGCAAAAAATTCGTCACACGTAAGATGTCTGTATCCCTGTGTACTCGGTGAGGGCACTTTGGCCAATGGGGTCAGCATTTAGACCATGACAATCCTATAGTCCTTTTTCATTACAAATACGTCTCTGTGATTTGAACACGTCAGAACATTTGTCTTTTTTTTTTGAAATCTAAAATTTCAGGCGAAACATGTTCTGTTCGGATGAGTGAGTGTCTAGACAGACCCTGTTGGAACAGAGGAACCTGTGAAGAGGACATAAATGGCTTCAAATGCAATTGTCCCTTTGGTAAGCATTTATAGTTTCTATACAGTTGCTAGTTTGGTATAATGTATGAGTTCTACGTTTGTTACTCAGGTGCTATAATGTCTTTTATGATGAAAGCATTTTGCTTACATTTTGAAAGATAAAAATCTGGTTATTTAGACTACTGAAGGAGAATTTTCTCAGTAAGTCCATGACATTTTCTCTCTGTCTGATTTTTATAATAGTAGATTACTTTAATTAAAACATATGTTTAGTACTGGAACATATTGGTGAAGGAATGACAGAACTGGAGATTTCCAATTATTTAGTGTCTGTTTGTAGGTTTTAGCCAGCAAAACATGTTAAAATTGAGCAAACATCCAAAATCCTAGTCTTTGGAATCCTATTATGCTGGCCACGCTACTCACACCTAAAAGATTAAACACTGCTCTAAAGTATGTATGACCTCAGTCTGTTGCCTGAGTATATGCACTTTGTGTCATGTGAATTGCCCTTAAGTATCCAAGATACTGCATGAGTCTAGAAGATACAATACAGGATATAAGGGACATCCAAGGAGGATCAGGCCATGGTGGCAACTGAACTCTAAGCACATAATGTAAGAAGACACAGCAAAATAGAGGAGAAAGAAATATAGTATTGAAGATTTTGTTTTACTAATTATATATACACTGTATAATTTGGAATTTTGTATGTTACTGTAGGGTGACTAAGAAAACGTAGAAAAATGTGGGTTAGAAATTCCTCAGAATATAATTACGGCCAATGGGGTAGACATTCAGCAACTGGTAAATTAATTCGTAAGTATGGGTAAGAAATTACTGATAAATTCTAAGAAGGCTTTTGGTTCTGACATGTGCATTTATAAGCTCATTGTTACTATGGAAAATAAGGTCGGAAGAATGAATTTTACACGTCTGTGGTCTAAGAAAGCTTACAGTATTTGGGTGTTTAGAAGTGAAACTGATAGTCATCAATAAAACCTGTGAATGTCAGAGTACTAAAACACAAGTCTCCAACCATCCCTCTGAAGCAAATAAACTGATTTTAAGTGGACTTTCAAGTACTTAATATCAAGGGATCCTTAAAAGTTTTAAGGGTGGTATCCTGCTGAGTTGGGAACTGAAGACAATACTGAGTTGTATCTTCAAAGGTAAGATGATGTTAGTTGCTTCACTGGGACAAATTTCAGCATGTGTTCAAGTATTTTACTTGAGGTAGGTAGACACAAGGTTTGTAGCTAAACAAAAAAATATTGTCATATGGAGATTCTCACATTCATTTTATTGCTTTGCTATCCCAAGTTTAACTGTCATTGGTGTTCATTAACACTCTCACGCACAGTGGATTTTAGAGAGAAACATCCTGCATATCCTTCCACAGATAGGAAGATCTCTCTGAAAAGAGATCTTATTTACACTGCAGAATGTCTGTCAGTGTTAGGAAAGAAAATTGTTGTGATGCTGTTTTAGTAGGTCATTTGTGCTTCTTTCTTTAAGGTCAGTCACTCTGTAGACAGTTTTTATTATCATTTTCAGTGTGTCTTATGTGCATGCATGGTTTGAGTGTCTGTAACTATTCATTCCTTCATGTTGTGCCTCTGATGGTAAATCAGGTATTTGTCTGGAACAGTGAGGTTTGTATAATGGACACATATACACGAGAAATTGTGAGTTTCATTCTGTTGACTACTAAAATGCTGTACATAGCAGCGGTTATTCATCATAATCAGTCAAAGGGTCAAGTAACTCATGGTGAACCAGCAGTTATCTGTAGAAATGATCAGTTAGTTTCTAAAAGAGTTAAGATTTTCTGTATTACTATATGCAGCTACATTATTAACACAATGACAAGCTGAATTAGAGAGACGGGAAATGTGGTGATGTGCATACCTAACAATGAGTTAAAAAGAGGAGAATTTTAATCTAAATGTGATACAGATTTCCTTTGTGCCCTTGGGTAAATTAATACCCCAGTTTATACTCTTTAGGTGAAGGTTTAGATAAACAAATGTAGCCATCTCACAATATTGTAGTAATTAAACAGATAACGTCCGTAAATTGCCTTAAAACAAAAGTAGTTATGTTACTGGATATTTTTACGAGCTAGCTTGGGTCTAACAAAAGTATCACTTCAAAAGATAAGGTAGTTAATTCTGTCTAATCCTTAAGTGAAAAAAAAGACAATTCATACTTTCATTGACAAGCAATGTCATATAGGATTTCTGAAAAAGAAAATAGGTTTTGCTTATCAGAGGATCTGTTGTTGCTGGCCTTTAACAGGTAAATAACAACAAATAAATAGTAAAAACATCGAATAAATCACATGTATTCAGTAACAGGATACAAGGCAGCACAGAGAATTTGGTTATGCCCCACTGATCAAGTTCTTGTAAATGACAATACTTGCATCTGCAACTGTCTGTCTGCTAGATCACTAGTAAATTGCTTTTCACTGCCTTTCTTTGGAATACATTTTTATTCATTAGACAGGTGGCTGTTACCTCTCCACTTTTCTGCTTTGCTTGCTGTTGTCTGAAACGGTCTCTGTCTGCATCTTATTTTTAGGTGCATAGTGATGTGTTCCCAAATTAGACCTTTCAATATTATCAAACGGCTACAAATAATAAAAATAAAGAACTTTCCTCTATATACAGTGGAAGTTCTAGTTCTTTGTTCTTCTTTTTTTTTTTTTTTAATATAATTTAAACTGTTATTTAACAAGGAATTATAGCTCTATTTTACCAGATGCAGCTTAAGATACCTTTGATGGGCAAGAAATATGTCGGTAGCTCCTCTTACACATGATATAGAGTCTTATATCTGGAAGTGTATAATTGCCCCAACAAGAATGCAAACATGATGGATTAAAGGCTAGATTCTTCACTGCACTGTTTGGTGTAGACATTTGCTTGGGTCTGAAGAAAGCAAGATAATTAACCTGATTAAGAACCAAGGATCATTAACTCAACAAGAAAGCTATGCTGATAGTTAACGCTGCTTCTGATACTAAAGTAAGCTCTTTCAGATACTGTCTCTTTATGAAGTACTATAATTATGAAGTGCAGAGCTACTAACACATTGCCATTGGCTGGAGTTAAAAGAGTTACCCTGTCAGAGAAGCTTTATAGACTGATCAAACTGCTTTTGATAGAGACTTGTGGTCTTCTGTTTTTATTTTATTTAAAGAAGAGTTTGAAGTGGGAAATGCATGTAAAATGAACAGTGGGACCTCTGCTTTACCAGGGCAATCCTTCATCAGACCATCTCCAATCTGTCATGTTTATGTCTGTATAAACTTTCCAAGACAGAATCTATATTTAGAAATTGTTATAAATGCACTTGTGAAGACCTCAGCACTTTCTCCACTGGAAATTCCAAAGTTACTGTTTGTTTTTTTTTCCATTACCAGTAGTCACTGTGTTAACAGAAACCAAGGCACGCTAACATTGCACACCTCTGTAATTAGTGTATAGAAAATACTGAACCCATTCTGTTTCAGGCAGCCAAATGAGAATTTTATTACAGTACTGATGTTCTTCAGTGTATTAAATATGTATATATTATGTTTCAAAAGACAGAACTATTTGAATTTAACACCTGCACTTTTCAGTAAGAGCACAGATTTTTTTTCCTTTTGAGAAAAATTAAAAAAAAAAATCTAAAAATATATGCATTAAAGTTTTTGCTAAGCATAGGAAATATGTTTCCTATTTTTGAATGATCTATGATACTGCTACAAATTTTAATTACTCTATGGAATATTGGTGAAAAATCTTATTTGCATCAGTCACAAAAATAAGAGACCTTGATGCCATGCAAAATTGCAAGCATCTTCTTCATTTCTGTCACTACTAAATAAATCATAAATCAACAGGAAACTTCAATAAGAAGCTTCCAAAATAAAATCTAATTGCTGGAATATTTGTGCTATAAATGATCATTAAAACAACAGTGAGTAATAGCTAAATGAACATTACTTATCTAAAACAAAATATTTTTTTAAGAGCTATTGATTTTTTAAGAGTAGTAAGATGTACATCATAAAAAATTAAATGTAGCTGTGGAAAACAGTGTACCACATAAAAATATTTAAGTACATAAGACACATTGATGAATTTAAAACATTACAGTCATGATTAAATTAAAAATGTAAAAATATGCTTCTTATTTTAGAGAGTCAATTCTTCTCTCTTTAAGGCAAAAATTCCTGTTAATGAAATTTGAAATTTTCACTATTTTTACTGAATTCCTACTTTACTGATTCGCATTTTGTGTCTCATTTGTTCAGAAAACATTCTCTCTAAAATATGAGTAAGTGTGTCTTCTCTATCTAAATTGCAGGAAAATAGAAAGCAAAATTACCTCTGAAACCTTTGCTGAACCTAGTAGCTGAACCTCAGTATTAATCCTTCTGATGGCTCAAGAGATTAGCTTAGCTGGACTCATTGATGATCGAAAAAGTTCCGCAGTTAACAACAGTAGCACAAGTACTGAAATACTACTTCGACTCATATGTCACATGACATAAAGTACCTCTTTTGCGAAGTCAAAAACCTCATACAAAAGCATAGATATTTTAAACCTCATACAAAAGCACAAAATCATATTTATTCTCAAACCTTTTTTAAAAAAAGAATCTTTGAAAAAATCAGTTTTTCAAATATAAATATTTGTTAGGATGGACGTGTTCATTTCAGTTATACAAATTCAATCTCACTTTGTTAATGTAGGAAATAATAAAGTGCATAGTAAGAGGAAAATCAGCAGATCTGTCATTATATCTGTTCTATCTCAGTTGAAATAAGGCAAGATTGTAAGTGTGCACATATGAAGATTATCTAGTAAAGTATGATGAACATCTTTTGTGATATGTTTTATCCATTTGTGATGCTAAACCAACACAGTATTAGTAACTTGGAATTTCTAGTAACTTATGTATAGCGTTATACCATATGAAATCCCTTTGTTGTTTTCCACTGAGCATGACATGTTCATATAAACATGTTCAACATATTCTTA